AAATGGAGGGTTGTCAAAATTATGGTCCCTTTTTGGGTACCCTAAATATTAGGGGCCGTCTTATAGGGACCCAAAAAGGGACCATAATTTTGACAACCACCCAAATAACTGTCTGAATGTCTGAATGTCCGACTGTCTGACTGTCTGCTACGCAGTTCAGGCCCAATGCCGCGACCTCAACCCCTTTATAAGTAGGTTCCATAACGCGTTAATGACCCCAAATTCCAAGAAAGCAAGTCCTAGGCGACAAAACCTAATCCCTAAACCCCAAACCCTAGTCCGTAAACCCTAAAGTATTCTAAGAACTTCACCTTCAGCGTCAGCTGCAAGGCCACCGGTAGGCCTGGGGGACAGTACAGCCTGGGTTGATGTTAAGGAACTGAAGTCAAGCAACCATAGGGGTTTCGGATTACCATACCATGGGCATATAGAAAAAATAGGGTTCAGAGGTTAGGATTAGGGTTTCGCGCTACCAAAATATGAGTCGATAGTAAAAAGAGGGCTTCCTTACTATAGTAACCCTAAACCCCAAGCCCTAAATACCCTAAACACTACATACCCTAAACCCTATAGACCCTCAACCCTATATACCCCTGCTTATAATAACTTAATCTAAATTCCTTAACAGCAACCCAGCAGCTGCTCAGTGCGCTCGCAGGAGGGCGAGTAGAGAAAGTCGGAATCTCCGAAATCGTATGGAAGACCTTTCTCGCATAAGGTTTAGTTATGGTTTAGGGCTTAGGGTTTCAGTAGGGTTTAGGGTTTAATTAGGGTTTAGCGCTGAATGAGGGTTTGGGGTTCTTATTAGGGTTCAACGTTTAGACTGGGGCTCTACTAGAAGTGGAATACTAGGCAGCTGTGGAAGTTGTAAGAATGTCTGAGGGAGTTTGCAAGGAGTTTGCCGGGAAAACCCAGGCCCTTACTAGGATTTAAGATTGGAGCTTAGGGCTTTTGAAGCAACCCTGCCTAGCGACACATGACAGCGCGGCATCGAATACTTGCTCCACTCATCGCATCCATCTGGGAGGCAAACGCTTGCAACCACCCTATGTGCATTTTCCACGCATTCTGCGCGAACAGAATGCAAAACTTGATTCCGGAGCTGCAGAGGCCCAAACAGACGCGGGAATTCCAACTTTGCCGTCTCCGGTGACAGCAAGCCATCCTCCTGTCCCAGAGCACCCACTTCGGGAAGAATAACAGCACTCCCCTCCGGGCAGAGCTCCTTGGGAGCGAAGCTTCGCAATGCATCACTTTGTAATGGAGGACTGGTCGATAGCGACGTTTTGCAGCGCTCCGTGCAACGCTGAACTACACACTGGGCATCCCCCAAAGGGCCTACAGCTTTGCTGACATGAAAGACAATCCAACCCACTTCAGGCAAACTGGCATGACGGCTGGCTTCCCCAGCGCAAGCCTCCACAATTCCCGCCGCAGGAAACCTTGGCTGACTGCCAGTTCAAATAAAAACTTCCCAGCCCTGACACATAGAGGCACCAACCTTAAACCAAAAGCTCACTGTGGGGTTCAGGTAAAAATCATTAATGAGGGGCTACTGGAGCCAAAAAGGTTTGTTTTGTGATTTTGGTGGGATTTAGTCTGGGGAGGCTCTTTTAAGCAGAGGACTGCGCAAACAGCAAAGAAGCCGTTCATCCGCAGCATTCTCGCAACGGCAAAGATCATGCCCTGGGTCCCTCAGCTCAGAAATGCCTGGGATGCTGCGCAGGCACATTTTTAAAGCTACCATGGCATGGACATATAGCAAATGAAAAAGCTGATAGGGTTCGCAGCTATGGCAACGTGGCGTGAATTTTTCAATTCCACATATCCCTGTATAGCCCCAGCTAAGATGTAATTTCCCACTTGTTTTTCATGCGTGTCCCCATTGAGAGCAACCCTCAACCTGACATCCTAAAACCAGTGGTAGAAGTGATTCACGTAGTTCAGTACCCCAAACATTGGAACCTTCTCCCTCACAGTTACTGTCCTTGAAGGGGCTTTATTAAAGGG